CACACTCGCCACGTCACAGCGCTGTCCGCAGATATGTGGCGTTTTGTACGGAGAACCCTTGTCAGAGGTAAACCCACCACATCCTCGAGCGCTGCCGCTGATCGTCCGCGACCGCTTATTTGGAGGGCGGAGGCCCACCTTATTCACGGTTAGCCGTGACATGACGGCCGTTCCCCTATCCGCGACCTGGGGACGCGCTCGGTAGCATACAGCTCTGCTCTCGGCTCGCATCAAGATACTCAACCTATAGGACAACTGTGGGCCAGAACATGACCTCCTACTTTGTCCTTTCTCCCCTCAATCCAATGTGTACTCACCTCTTGGTGGAAAGCTGTTTCCAAATACCCAAGCAGAGCGATCCAACCCAACAAACAACAGTTGTTCTACCTTTCCAGGATCGTTACCCGGAAGTCGTCAGTATTATCGCGAGTGGTGTTCCTGGGTTTTGATTAGTCCCTTTGACTGGTTTTTAACTTGCACCTAGCGAACTGCTCCTATACGACCAAATACCCTAAACAACCATCGCGCTGAGACTGCACCTAGTCAGGGTGTGGTGGCTTGTGCACCTCTATGACCCGACATCATGGCTTTTATCTGGCCGAAGATCTAATCACGCCTGGAGGGTCCGAGGCTAGAGATCAGACAAAGGTCATTCTCCTGGTCCTCCAGATTGGAGGTTCGACTCGAATTGGCGCCTCGGTCCAGTAAAAATGCTGGAGCAATTGATCCAAGTAGATGGACCTTCACTCAGCCCTACTCACTGCCCTGCGGTTAGTTTCTTGTCAGAACTGAAAGCTTTGGTTGGCAACCCCAATAGTTCTGCAGCTTAGTGGTTGGACACCCTAGCAGTACTGTCCATTAAACTCAAATGCATAAGCAAAGCAAATATTATTCCATACCGCATCGGCCGTCGCGAAGAATAATAAGGATCGCGCTGACCATTGCATCGAGTGGGATGGGTAGTGACAAGTGGGCTACGGCTCAGATATCCTTAATTGTGTTCAGCTCTTTGACTTTATACTTCACCTCCTTCCCCTTCCTCTGACCATTCCATCAGACTTCTTTACCACTCGCCAAAGCTAGTTGCCAAACAGCACTGTAAGTAGTTTACCAACAAGTAGGTTGAAGATCTCGAAGCCTCGTCAGCCCCTCGATCTGAGTACCCTCAACGTACGGACGCTAGTACAGTTGGAGAAACAAGCGTGTCATAGGCGTGAAATGAACCCGCACACATGAGGCAAGCCAATCCTACCAAGTATCTGTTCCCACTTGGCTTGTCTGGCATCAGTGCATCCTTTTTACCGAGAACCACTAGGATACGGAACGCCTTCAACTCTAAATTTTTCTAATCATACAATCTGCAAATCTTCAAACAAAACCTATAGGTCTGTACACCAAAGGGATTATTCATTCTCCTGTAACTCGTGCCTATCTCAGAAATATCTAGATTTCATTTGAATCATTTCGGCTTAGATGAATGTGACGAGAATAAAACTGCCAAAAGCACAGTTAGCCACATTGTGTTGTCATTACAACACTTGGCACATCCCGTGGTTCGAACAATTTCAAATCGCGGAATGTCAAGCCATCAGGGTAACAGTGAGGATGTAAATAGCGGGCGTTTCGATACAGCTGCATCAGTTTACAACCATTTACCATGAATCACCGTGCGGCGGTTTTGGTTGCTGTCTTGGCTACCCATTTGAACAATGGCATTGACCCGGAACATTGAGATACGTTGGTACTCAAACCATAAGACTTGCGATTGATTGACGGGCCTCTACGTTATAAACTACCAATTTTACTCAAAATGCACAAAGAGCATACTGTGAAGATAAGATTAGAAAAAAACAGCACCTCCTTCGTTTGTTAGCTTCTAAAATACACAATACACTGATGAAACCGGAAGACTGCGAGGAACACTGTGACCTAAGCCATCATGAAATACAAGTGAATAACTAAAGTGCTCTCATAAATCAATGTTTGGTGTCTATCTCTAGTGGGTATCCTACCTGATTCTGTTTCACGGGAGCGGAACGATCAAGTTCTTGACGGTCGTTGGAATTTAAAGCATCAGATGCCAACGGTTGTTCAATATCCATGGCTTCTTCATATCCCGCACCGCACAGACCGTCTGTCTTACTCAGCGGTGATATGTTCTGTTCCGGGTTTGGGGAATTAACCTTCCCGGATTTCTGCTGCGACATCCGGATTGGTTCAGTTGATAACCAGTACGTGCTTGTTCAAAGCCTCACTCACATTTAACGCGCGAAGTGATCTGCTTTAAACAAAGGAGGAAAAGGCATGCAACCTGATGATATATTGCACTAGTAAACAGTGCTTCTTGACTGCTTGTGATTTGTACTATCTTTAAATTTTATCACTCATGTCAATTGTTTATTGAATAAGGCCTGCGTAGGGATCTCAGTTCTTTCCAGTTCCGGTCGAATTGACTATCGGTTTCGCAACGATCTATGCAACAAACACGGGATCGGATAATATTATTTGAAACCTTGGATGGAGACCAAAAAGGAACGCACGCATTCAAGCCAGGTATTCTTTCTTTAACACATTCCCCTACTTTCAGAAAAGCATCGAGCGTCTCACAAGTGATAAAGTGAAGACGCTGGGGAATGGTCCAAAAACTTCAACGACTATACGGAAGAATGCTGCAGCTATGGGTGGGCAATCGGAACCTTTAGAGATCTCTATGGCGGTAGTCAAGGTTATTAAAATAACGACCTGAGTGATCTGAGTTCCAGTCCCACCAATACCACCGTTCATTCTCTCCACTTCTGTATCTTTCCTGGTTTATAAACGTTGCTTTCCTCTTCCGTCC